CTCGAAGGAATGTAGTGTATGATCATCTAATATGCTATGGATTTGTTAAAGGCTATACTAGATGGATCAATCACAGGGAATGAGATATCAAGTTGAATGTTAACGATGATATGGATTACTCGCGTGATGATATTGATGGGTTGTTGAATGATCAATTTAGAGATGTTGCACAGGCTGAAGGAGTTTATGATGGTCCAAATGAAGATGCCAAGAAATTTTGTAACTTAGTTAAAGAGGCAAGCCAAGAATTATATCTTGGTTGTACAAGATTCTCTAAATTATCATTCACACTTCATTTATATTTGTTGAAGTGTCTACATAGATGGAGCAATGAATCATTCACTTCTCTTTTAGAGTTATTAAAAGAGGTGATGCTCGAGTTGAACATTCCTCCGTCTTACAATAAAACCAAGTCTATGGTTAAGAATCTTGATCTTGATTATGAGAAAAATGATGCATGTCCCAATGATTGAATGTTGTTCAGGAATGATCATAAGGATGATGAATTTTGTCATACTTGTGGAGCTTCACGGTATATTAAATCTCTTGAAGTTGATAGTGAGCTTATGCCTTCAAAAAAACAACATCGAGTTTCAGCAAAGACTTTGAGACACTTTCCATTAATTCCTAGACTCAAAAGGCTATTTATGTGCTCAAAGACGGCAGATTCTTTGAGGTGGCATGACGAGGAACGTTCTAAGGATGGAAAGTTAAGGCATCCCACTGATGGTCTAGTATGGAAAGATTTTGATAGGTTGTATCCAGATTTCGCACTAGATTGTCACAATGTGAGACTTGGCTTGTCAAGTGATGGATTCAATCCATTTCTAACCATGAGTATATCACATAGCACATGGCCAGTTATGTTGATGGGGTATAATCTGCCGCCTTGGATGTGCATGAAATCTGAATATTCTATACTTCATTTACTTATACTTGGGCCGCGATCACCTGGAAATGACATTGATATTTACTTACAACCATTGATAGATGAGTTAAAATTATTGTGGGATTCTGGGGTTGAAACATATGATGCTTCAAGAAATCAAACTTTTCAAATGCGGGCAGCTCTTATGTGGACAATCAATGACTTTCCTGCATATGCTATGTTATTTGGTTGGAGTACAAAAGGAAAGTTTGCTTTCCCTTGTTGTAACTATGACACTAATTCTCACTATCTTAAACATAGTCGGAAAATGTGTTATATGGATCATCGTGTTTTTCTGCCCATGGATCATCCATGGAGATCTAACAAAAGATCTTTCAATGGAAAAACTGAATTCAGGCCTCCTCCACCTTTCTTAAAGGGAACTGATGTGCTTAATAGCTTACATGATTTTGAAAATGTGTTTGGAAAGAAGAGAAACATATCAAATGATGGCCCATGGAAAAAAAGGTCAATTTTTTTTTAATTACCTTATTGGCAACACAACTTGTTACTCCACAACCTTGATGTAATGCACATAGAGAAGAACATAGTTGATAGCATACTTGGAACTCTTTTGGATATTTCTGGCAAAACAAAGGATCATGCAAAAGCCCGGTATGATTTGAAAGATATGGGAATCAGGAAGAACCTTCGTCCAAAAGATACAGAAGATAGTAGGAGAACAAAGTTTGCAAAGGCGTGCTTCTCAATGACAAATGGAGAGAAATCATTTTTTTGTAGAGTTTTAAAGACAGCCAAGCTACCTGATGGTAGTGCCTCCAATATATCTAGGTGTGTGCACTTGGATGAAAGAAAAGTATCTAATTATAAAACCCATGATGCTCATTTCATGTTACATTACTTGCTTCCAATACCAATTAAAAGCATTCTTCCTGATCATGTGGCTATTCCTTTGATTCGTCTTAGTTCTTTCTTCCATCGTTTGTGTCAAAAAGTAATCACATTGGAGGAACTGGATTGCTTAGAAGTAGAGATCATAGAAACAATAAATCAGTTGAAGCGAATTTTTCCTCCTTCATTTTTTGATCTAATGATTCATTTGCCTATCCATTTGGCGAATGAAGTGAGATTAAGAGGTCCAGTTCAAAATCAATGGATGTATTCCACTGAAAGAGAAATGGGTACATTCAAATCATACATCCGCAACAGACGTTATCCAGAAGGTTGCATAGCAAAGACACGAGTGGGAATAGATTGTATAAATTTATTCTCTAAATATCTGCATGGGGGTGTGCATACTAGATTTAACAGAAGAGCCCAAAATAATGATGAATGTGATCCAAGTGATGCAGAAACTGTGAGTTTGTTTCCTAACAAAGGAGTTCCTTTAGGAGCAAAGAAAACTGATCCATTCATTTTAGATAACAAGTCACTAAGTCAGGCACATGCATACTTATTGGGAAATTGTGACAAGGTTCAAGAATATATTAGGTACCTTAATTTGAATATAATATTCTTTTTGTATAATTAATTTTTAACTTATTTTATTTATTATTTTAACAAAAAAAAGTACATGTTATGTAGATAGCATGAGCAAGAGGTTAATAATCAGCCACGAAGATCTAAATGGAACAAGGCCAAGAATCATTATCAAAACTTCTCTCAATGGTTTGAAACTTGTGCTTTGCAAGAGGATGTGCCTGATTTGATAAAACAATTGTCTAGAGGACCAAATTCCGTTGCAAAAAGATATTTCATCAATAGATATAGATTCCATGTTAGGCAGTATGATGCAAGGCGTAAAACACAAAATAGTGGTGTTACACTAGTTGCCTCAACTACAAGCTTTGCAAGCTCAAAGGATAAAAATCTGATTGCTGCAGATTTGACTTATTATGGCAGAATAGTTGATATTGTTGAATTAGACTATTTGGTCATTTTAAGTTTGTTCTATTTAAGTGTGATTGGTATGAGGTTGAAAATGATGCTTATGGTCTTACTTATGTCTATTTTAACAATAGATGCTCTCAAGAAGAGCCTTTTGTGCTTGGATCTCAAGTACACCAATGCTTCTATGTGCAAGATCCATATGATCAAGATAGATATTATGTTATGAAGACTGTTCCGAGAGACTTTTTAACATGAGTGATGAAGTTGAATCTGATCTCCCATAAGGTTATGAAAACGAGCCATCTGAATATTTGATGGGACCATCTATACCAAAAGATAATGGTGAAGTACTCTTAACAAGGACTGATGTACCAGAAACAATTATTGATGTGCCTTCGAAGGAATTTGTTACTCAACAACTTGAAGTCGAGTATGAAGAGGAGTTTGAAGATAAGTCTGCAAATGAATTTGAAGACGAGTCTGAAAATGAGTCCGAAGATGAGTTTGAAGATGAGTCTGAAGAAGAGTTTGAAGATGATGCACCATGAGTTTCATTATTTTTGTGATGGCCATATAGTGCTCACTTACTGTTTTTTTAATATAATTGTTTTTTTTGGTACAAACACATTAAGATATCTAATATGTGGAATTGAAGATTAGATTGCTACAATGTTTAAGTATTCTGTTGGGTTTTTTCATGCGCCCAATTGTTCTTTGGTTAAGTAATTATGTTGGCTTCTTATCTGATTATTATTTTATTGAGGAACCTGTACTTCTAACTGAATATTGTTTTATTTGGCTGTTTGTTATTTATATACTTATTTGTTTCCTTTAATTATCAAGCAGTAGACATTAGAGGCAGAACAGTGAGCTCTGCAATTTGAAGTCGCTCCTGGTTTTGTCGCTGTCCTGAGTTCGTTGCTCCGAGAGAGGTACAACTATTTACCTTTAATTTTTCCTTCTTTGTTTCAGACCAAGAGTGTTATGTGTTGTTGTGACTGAAATAGTGAGCTGCTAGTTTGTATCAGTTTCTTAGTTGATATGATTTGATATGTTTTCTTAAAGTTAACTGAGTCTCCTTTTAGTTTGTTCAAGATGGTATGTAGTTCATTCAGTCGCGATTTTAAGTGTGCCTGCTATATGTTTTGGGTTCTTGAAATGGGGTTGTAAAATTTGGTTGTTTACCTTTCTCTCCAAGTGTGGCTCAGTTCTCTTTTGAGCATCTTTTAACTTAGTCATTGTATATCTCCGTCTAATTGTTCTCAAATGCTATCTGATGCTATGAGGCTTTAAGTTCTAATGTTCAATTTGATCAAAAATAGTTTGTCTAGGTCTTGATTTTGTTTGAATTTATAGAATCAATTTAGTTGGGCTCCAGCGTCCCTGCTAGGATATTGTGTCTGTACAGGTTATGGAATCAGTTTATATACAGTGCTGGAAGTTCTGGAAATTCTGGAAACTCAGATGCTGAAATATTATATAGTTCTGGAAATTTTGGAAAGTCTGGAAACTCTGAAAACTCAGCTGCTACAATATTATGCAGTACTGGAAATTCTAAAAACTCAACTGTTGCAATATTATACAGTGCTGGAGATTCTAGAAACTCAGTTGTTGCAATCTGCTATTATCAATTACTCTTATATAGCTGCTGCAATCTGTTATAATACAGTGCTGGAAATTCTGGAAAGAGTTGAGCTTTTATATAACTTATAAAGAGTTGGAAATTCTGGAAAGAGTTGGTGTGTGAGTTCTGCAAATGCACAGGACATAGGAAGGACAGTGTTTCAAAGTAATAAGCTATCCACCTGACTTCAAGTCTAAGAATAAAATTTATAGTGAGGCATCTGGGCAGCATATGATGTAATAGATGTGCAAACGTATTATGTAGGTACTGAAATGCAAGCTCAAGGAACCTTCACATATGGCTTGAACACTAATGTACCACCATCTACTAGGAGTCGTCAGAATGGATCCAGGAGCACTAATGACTATACTAAACAGTTGCTATAAATCAGTATATGTAGTAAAGTTCTGGTAGCAGTGTGTTTTAACATTTTTTTACTTCATCAATATAATTCAAAGCAATGTTGCCTATAGTCATCTGCCAACCTTATATCAAAATTATATTGCTGCTACATCTTTCACTTAAAAAAACTTATTATTTTGTAGGTTTACTTACTACAGGGAAAGAAATCAAAGAGATTAAAACAAAGCGAAAAGAATGAATCAATCAACAATACTAAAGAAAAAGGGTTCGAATCCAAACAAATCTCAAAGTCCATTGAAGAATCTGAATTTTGATATGCAATATCGATCAAGTGCTGAATTGGCCAACAAATTCAAGATTAAGAGAGAACAACTTGCAAATGAATGCAATGATAGAGTTAAGAAAGAGCAGGCACCAATACCACATAAAAGAAAGAATTCTGAGGATTTCATTCCACAACAAGGAAAGAGTAAATTGCTTGGGCACAAATCAGTAATGCAATCGTCTTCAAGGGAAGAGCTTAGAACCTCACATATGATTGCAGGGAAAGGACAAACTAAACAGAGGTTATTTCAATCTGGAGAGTCCATTCAAGAGAAAGGAATTAAACTTCATATGAATAACTCTAGGTTCCAAACGTCATTCAAGGAAGGTGTTACTGCTTCAGTACATGTGACTGGAACAACACTAGGTAATGGAGAGGTACAACATGATATTGAGGATCTACTGAACTTCAAACAGGTGAAGAGGAAGTCGGTCCGACCATCCACCAATATTGATTAGTTTCTGGATAAGCAACAGATACACAATGAACATGATATCCACGATCTACCAAATTGCAAGCAGGTAAAAAGGAAGTAGGTTATACCAGCTAATAGTCTTGATCAGTTTCAGAATAATCAAGGGATACGGATAATGAAACAAAACGTGATAACCACACAATAGCTGATGTCGAACTTATGCATGCTCCTATTATTAATGAACACAACAAAGGATTGGATGATCTTGTGGATCAAGAAGAACTCGGTGGAGATGAATGTGATGTAGAAGAGGAAATTGACATTGATTATAGAACAAAAGGTATGTCTTAAACCTTGTAAGATTTATTACTCGTTATAAAAGAAATATCTTATTTCCTTTTTGTTACATCAATTTAGAAATATCGAAGCCAAAAAAAGTTCGAGGACAAACGACATGTAAGGATATTCACACAAGAACTTTGGAAGAAAGAAAGTAGGTGACATTTGATAAAGGACAAGCAATGGGACCAACTAATAAGATAGTGTCAGAATTAAGCAACTTTATAGAAACAATTGCAAGGAATCCTAGATTCATCAGCTTGATGTACACTAGTTGGCATGCGGTGCCAAAAGATACTAAAAAACTCATGTGGGAGTACATCAATGTAAGAACAATCACTTTTGAGATTGCATATTTTATTATTTGTTTTTACTTACTGAAGCTAACTATTTTATTTTGCATAGTCCAAATTTCTAATTCCAGTAGAAGGAAAGAAGTGGGTGATGACTGGTCTTCGTGATGCTTGGAGGAGACACAAACAAAAAATTAAAGAGAAATTTTTTGATAAAAACAGTACCCTTGAGGATATGCTAGCAAAACGTCCTGATGGCATTCCAGATAATCAATTCCGCCAGCTGATCAAGTATTGGAAACACCCAACTGTTCAAGTAACGCTAAAATAGTGCATTTCTGCTCATCAACAAAGTTTGCATCATATGTATTCTTTTTTCTTTTTTTTGATTTATCAATTCAATTATCTCTTTTTATTTAATAATTAGGCCATATGCGAGATGAATTCTCAAAACAGGAAAAAACAGAAGTGGAGGCACTGAATGGGACCTATTAATTTTGCAAGAGTACGCGTGGCATTGGTAATACTTAGCTGACATTTCTTCAAAAATCTGAATTTCATTTTTTTATACTTTATTAGAAATTATTGATGTTTTTTTAATTTCTTTTGATATAATATGTAGCATGCAGCCAAAGACAACAATGAAGAACCATCAAAGCCTGAAATGTTTGTTGCAACTCATACCAAGACGGGAAAGGAAATCCAGGCTGATACCCAAGTTGCAGTAGTAAGTTTTTTAAAGAGATTAGTAGTGAATTTGATTCAGACTTAAAATTCATATATTGTGGGGAGTTTGACTCCATTGAATTTTATCACGTATGTCTTCTTCTTCTTCTTCTTCTTATTCTTCTTCTTTTTATTCTTCTTTTCATTTTCTTGTGAAAGTGCGAGGAGATATCAATTCTTTGTCGATGCCGCTGAATTGTTTGCTAGGAAAAGTTGTTAAATTTTTTTAGTTCTTGATCGATATCATAGGACTGGAAATGAAATAGTACTTACAGTTCACTATCGATGCCAATTTTATTCAACAGGCTAAACTTCAGAATCGCCAAAATTCTGGGGAAACAGCCGATGATGCATTTAGGGCAGTGTTTGGAAAGGAGCAGCCTGATCGACTTAGGTGCTATGGTAGATCAGTGACAACAACTTCTTTGAAGAAAGATGAGGAAATTAACAACCTAAAACAAAAGCATGCCAATGAAATCACTTCTCCAAAGGAAGAATTGAGAGAAGAAATGCGACATTTATTCACTCAACTGCTGCAAAACAACCCTGGATTGAATTTTCAAGATATACCAGGGTGTGTTGGATCTAACCTTGCTTTACCTGTTGATGCAAGTAGCGCACAAGTTGTAAGAGGCACAAATCTTCCACATTCTTCAAGGTCAGCTCATGATTCAGTTCTTCAAAAGCTATTTTGTATTTCACATTCTCTGTTAATAGTTTGCATATTGTTTTTCTTCTAGTTGAGCTGGTGTTCTTAGTAAAGAAGTTCAGAACTTATTTTACTATCTTGAATATTTGAAAGTTCAGTCTGTACTTTGTTTTTGTCACTCATTGTCTCCTTTCAGCTTCTATACCTAATTTTTTTATATTTTTAGTTGTATGAGCGTTGTATTGTGTTGAAGGAGGACTCTAGTGATTTTGGGTTGTAGTTGTGTACTTTTTTCCCCTGTTGTTTTACTGCTTTGAACTGTTATGGTTGTTGTGAGAGATGGTTTTAGTTTTCTTAGTTGGTTTACCTTTTGATTTGTTGTTGGAAGGAGTCTGATCATTATCTTTCCCATTTTGCTGACTGTTATCACCTGTAGGGTTTGGATGATCCTTTATCTTTGTTTCACTGGTAGGAGTAATAAGAACTTGCCTCCCTAAAATATTATCATTGTTGTCCTGGATTTGATACACTTGACCGTGACTTGTAGTATTAATCTGAGACCTGTTTGGAACTTCATGTTTATTCTGAATGTGATGCTGAGGGGTAGCAGGGGTTCTATGGTCTAGATTATGGTCAATCTGAGTGTTCTCATGCCCATCATGAGACATATTCCCCCCTTTGGATACCCCATCCTGTAAATTAGTTGTGTTCTCCTGACACCCTCCTTCCAACCCTCCAATAACTTCAACAGCCTCATCCAAACAATTAACAAGGGGGTTCTGGGGTAGGGGAATAGTTGTAGTTTTATGAATATTAGAATTAGGGGGAAGAAGAAGAAGAACAATGAAAGTAAGAAGAAGTAATAGAGAATAGGAAGAAGATGAAGTAATCTTTAAACAAGATGAATCTTGCTAGAGTTAAACTCTCTACGCTTTCCTTCTTAATATTTCTTTATGGAGTATTCAATATGTACATGTATCTATTTATATACAATAGCTTGTAAGCTTGTAACAAACTAGTAAGGCATAACTAACTTAACTAACAGTTAGTTACTAATCCTAACTAACTTATAATCTTTGCCCATCTTTTAAGTCACTACTATTAACACTCCCCCTCAAGCTTGGAAGTGAAAAGATGTTTTGAACTCCAAGCTTGGAACTGAGAACTTGATGTTGAACCATGGTCAGTCATTTGGTTAACATGTCAGCTGGTTGTTCCTTTGTTGGAGTGTACTTGGTACAAATAATCCCTTGTACAAGATTGCTGCTTTACTGTCTGTACACACCTCTATAGGTTTCTGCACCTTAATACCTACATTATTCCTCAGACCTATCATCCAAATAACTTCAATTGCAGTTGTGGCTATACTTTTGTATTCAGCTTCAACTGAACTTCTACAAACAATAGATTGTTGGGAGACAATAGCCATCCAGTAGGCTCTGGTTGAACCTTAGCACTTATCTCAATTTGTGTTGTGAAGTCCATTGTGCTGTCTCCAAACACCACTGGGCCACGGAAAACAGCCATTAAAATTGCCCTAGAAACACAAACAATAGTACCTCCAACCGTTGTCTGACCTTCCACAGTAAGAAGTTTCGTTGTTTCCATACTGCATAAACAACACATATGAATAATGTTGAGCAAGCCACATCAAATACTCTTTTCAAAAGCCTGTCCTTACTCCCTTTCATTTACATTAATATTTTTTTATACCAAGAAATTTTGGTGGGTCAATGAAGCCAGGTTTTAGAGGTGGGTAATGGATCTACACATCTAGCCTAGCATTTCAACTAAACTAAGGCATAAAAGTTTCTTCACATTATAGATGCCCATCTCATTTTACTAAAATATTCTGCAACAGCACCATGTTCTATGCGGTCCACTTCAGTGTTACCTAGCTTGACAAATATTGAACAACACCATGTACTCTATGATTGATCATAAAATTATAGTTTTAACTCACACACTACTAAAAATATTAAAGGACAAAAGAGCACCACAGTAAAGAAAAAGTGAATAAGATTCACAAAACTAATTACCTTTAAGTTGGGAGTTGATAGATCAGGAAGCCTCATGTTGCGAGGAAATGCACTTAAAATTATATTTCGCATTTGTATGCAGCTTGGAGGGATAAAAAAAATAAGAAGAAAAAAAAGGAAAGAAAAGGTCATGAAAGAGAAGCCAATAAAAGGCAAAGAAGAAAAATATAACATGGGTTCCCAGGTCAGAATATAAATTAATAAAATAATATCATCATAGAACTTGTACTAGTTGTACCTCATACATAGTAAAAATTTTCGCACCTTTCTCTTTTTTCATCATTCCTATTTATGAATTGGTTTGGCTTAATGTGAATTTAAGCATATTAAATACATGATTTATTTCACTAACATATTATTTTATTTTGAATGTGCAGGAAAATGCCGATAATTGAATTTGAATTGTGGCCAGAAGTAAACTCGACCTATTGTAGTGAACGATCAAGAGTTTTTGTACTATTGTCATATATGTTTGAATGCATTTGGTTTTGTGGAATTTATTGATAGTAGAGATCTTTAAGCAATCACTTTCTAAGTATTGGTTGTACAAGACATGTTTCTCGAAGTTTATTTGAAATATATAGCTTCGATTTAATTATTAGTTAATTTTGTGTTTTAGGTCACTTGTATATTTAATTATGTGATTATTGAATATATGCAAATAAAAATTATTATTCTTAAAAATAAAAAATTGTGCCTACAAAATTCTACACAACATTGCCACACTTCAAAAGTGTTGTTGTAGGACGTCCAATGTTAACTTGTACATAAGAAAAGTTACACTTTATAAGTGTTGCTCTAGATGAGATATAGAAGGCAACACTTTTTAAGTGTGACCAATAACAAAGCAAAGGCAACGCTTTTAAGTGTAGTATAATAAGAAAAAGGTGTCGCTAATGCATCACTACAAAGCGTGCCCTTATACCTCTTTGGCTACGCTTTATAAGTGTAGCTGTGATGGCAACATTTAAAAAGTGTTGCCTAATGTCAAAGGTTACGCTTCTTTAGGCCACCCCCTAAAAAGTGTTGCTTAAAGTCTAAAAGTGTAGCCTTTTATCAAAGGCCACACTTTTTGCTAGTTTAGGCTACACTTTACTGGGGTGGCTGTAGGCCTAAAATGGTGTAGTGTCATTTCATAAGTCATTATACATTGAGGAACACACCATAACTACTCTCAAAGCCTACTTATGCAACGTATGGATGAAGTCCCATACCTCCACCCACACTTTATAGAACTTCTTGAGTAACCATAGTACATAACTCATATTCTTGTTCATAGTGGGAATAAGCCTTAACCGACATAGACCATATGAGCAAATCATGGAATCCTGTGTCATGTCTCACACCGAAAAGAGTTGGTCTACTTGCCTAAGGTAGAACCGGTAAAATTTTAGCTTAGGTGGATCCACTAGCTAATAACCTATGTGGGCATATAGTTATGGGATAAGAAGGTTGTTACTAGAAACCCGGTCACACATAGGAAGAGCTTCCACCCCACAATATTCACTCGGTGTTAAGCATTAAATTCCCATAGAGTAGTTAATTATCTTTAAACATTATTACACATGAAAGGGATGCCATTGGCCTATCGATTCAAGGTACATCATTAGAATAGCTCATTGAATCCTCATGAAAGGGATACCATTGGTCTACTGATTCAAAGTTCATCAGTATAATAGTTCATTGACTCGCCATGAAAGGGATACCATTGCTCTACCGATTCAATATAAGCCTTATCATACTTCATTAGTCATTCATGAAAGGGATGCCATTGGCCTACCGATTCAAGGTTTATTAAGTCAAGATAACTTTTAGTTACTCAAGAAAGGGATGCCATTGCCTACCGATTCAAGATATATCAAGCAAGATCACTTTTATTCACACATGAAAGGGATACCATTGGCCTACCGATTCATT